AGGATTGCACTACAGTAGAGGAGCGCACCTGTCCCGTTTTGTTTCGTAGTATACATTCGTGCAGTGTATTCTGTATTGATGGCTGCCGTACACGGCTATTTCCTCTTCTTGTTTGTATTGCGCCTTGATATTGTTGCGTGTAACTGAAGCTGGTACTCTAACAATTTGTTTGTTTTTTTTTCTTTTGGTTGTTACTTTGATGCACTCTGCCTAGTTATGTTGTGTATGAGAGGGACAGTCCTTATGCCTCCCTTGTTGGTGGTGTTTTGTTCCTTGTTGTCGGAAAAATTCCCCCCCCCCCCGTGCGAACAAATGTTATGAATAACATTCTGAAAGTGGGGGGCAATGTCACGGACGGCTATTTTCGGCGACACCGCGTCACGGCAATTAACGGGCGCCGTACTCCCCGACTGACCGTGAGAAACGGCGGCACATGAAAGGGAACCGATAAGTGCAAAATGGGGGTGCTCTCCTTAGAACGTCGCCGCCGACAGTTAATCCTTTTGTAACCACGGCGACGTCTGCAAGGTCGTAGAAGGCCGCGGTATACCCCGTACAAGGATTAGACTACAAGACGCCCGGCTGAGAGCTAAGTGGTTGACCGTTCCCACGGAGAAAAGCGTGGGAAACGCTCTGGTGGCCAAGCCGTATGACAACAACCCGGCAGGTTGTCACTCTCGCTAGTTGCGGGCCCTCTCCCTATTAAAAAGGGGTGGGGTCAAAATATTTTTGGGGCGGAGTTTCCCCTCAATTAAACGCGCATGATTGGACCCAGGTAGAGGTCTCTTGTCCCCAAGGAAAAGAGCGAGGAGACACGAGGGGGATTTAAGCGCAGGTATTTGCCCTGCTAGGCAGACTAGTCGCTGACCAAGATGGTGTAGAAACAGATCAACAAGCATCTCTTCTAGAAGTTTTTAGTGTGGCTCTGTATCGGCTGGCCACCTAAACTTAGCCGTTCGTCTAGTTGTGACGCGATATTAACGTCTGCAACGTAGACATCGGGACTTCGCCTCGAGTTAGCTCAACCTGCTCGAAGTCACCTGCAAGCACTAGCCTCCCGGAGCCACCAGCGTTGCAACACCGCCGACATCGCAGTCGTGCCAGAACTCTCCGACTTCTCGCATCCGATCGTCGGGGACACAACGCTGCCGGTCATCACACGTATGCCTTCACCTGTTTATATCTTCGAACTTTCTACTCCGTAGTTCTATTGTTGTTAGAGTGTGTAGTTTGTGATAGTTCTCTCGCGTAAGCTGATTTATTGTTTTGTATATATTTTTTTAGTTGCATCAAGTGTTTATGTGCTTTGCTGGTTGTATTGAAGTGTTGTAATATATCCCGTGTGCTGCAATATCACTAGAGTAAAGTTGTTTTGTTTTCTCACGTCTCTGATCTCTTCACTGTCTCTGCTTGCGTGCGGAACGAACCAACCTGCTGTCAGTCCCGTCGCCGACTTCGTGCTGGCGACGCTTGAGTGGCAGCTTGTAACAGTAACCCATGTTCGATTTCAAAATAAACCAGTTGCGAGTGTAGCGGTTGCCCTATAGCGTCCCATCTTTCCTTCGCATTAATCCCTGTGCGTTGCCTCACGCGCTGGTTTTCTTCAATAATCAAACAAAGTGGACATAAATGACTGAGACAAGACAAAGCAAATAACAGCTGCTCGCTTTTCGTAGATTTTCTTTTTTTCTTCTCTTTTTTTTCAATTTCTGGTAATATTTCTCCGCACATACTTCACTCGAGAACAACATTTCTATATTCATCTGTTCTTTGGTTTTTTTTTTGTGTGGGAATGGAGCAGTTGGACACAAACAGCACAACGAGTCGTATAGAGAGTAACAGAAAGAAGTTGTGTATAGAGCTCTAGCGTTAATTGTACAAACTCCCCGAGCTTGCGAGTAAGGAAGGAAAATCGGGGGGGGGGGGGGGGGTAGAGTTGAGGACAAAATGCGACAGTGTGAAAATGGAAGGTTGTCACAGTGAGAGAGACAGACAGAAAGCGCAGTAGTAGTAGCTTGCTTACAATCGTGCTCGACTAAGAACAACTATGAGACGGCTAGTTGAGGCAAGCGAGAAATGTAATACACTTGAAACAACTCGTTAACAACGTTTGGATATCTCGTCTCACTGGCAGACATCTCTCCAGCGGGTTTAGTTCTGACGTCACAGCGGCGCCTTCTATCACGTGGTCTTAGCCCTGCGCGCGGAAGCCGCTACTGCTTTTTGTACAAAGCCACTACGAACGTGCGAGGGCACAAACAGCTTTTATACATGCCATCTGCGTGCGCCAGACGCTGCTGTATAGCAGGCTTGTTTTTTTTTTTTGACACCCACCTTATCAACACGTACCCAAACAAAAGATCACCTCAATCACTAAGTTCTTAGTATTTGGTGCGGCGAAAAGTTCGATGTCCAATAGCGGCACAAGGATCTACTGACCAGTACTAATTTAAATTCCGAAATACAAGCGAAGTTTTATCTGACTGAGTAGGCTATTCTAGAACCGTAAGTCAATATCTTCAATAAAACTGACCTGAACTCACCACTAGGCAAGTATAGTATGATATCAAAAACTCCATGCAGGGAGTTAAATACTATAAATACGTAAAAATCGCAATGCCTGGTTGGCCGATAAAATCCTAATCTCTAATTGTAAAGCGATCGCTACGATATGCTTTCTTAAAATACGAAAATGTAGAGAAACTTGAAATATGCATTAGCCACCACGTGTTTTGATTGTAAAACAGGGCGGAGGCATCTAGGGATAAATAGTGGTCCAGGTTGAAAAAGAAATATCTCACGCTACGTGCCCTGTAACAGTGCCGCGAAAAAAAAAAAACATGGTAATCCCGGATACGAAGCAACCCCCTGGATATAAGCGGCCATCTCGTAAGGCATCCTGCAGTCACTTAACAACTCTCAAAGACAACGACTATCTTGACTTTAGAAGGCGCAACGCTTCTGAACTCACTTGTTGCTCGATGTATAAGCTTAAAACAGTGAGTTAATCTCGATGACGTAAGCTACACATTGTTGTTGCAATAAACGACCTCCTGAGCTTCAGAAACGGACGAGAAACTGTGAGAAATATGTTGAAATGGCATATACTGAGCGAGCAAAAGCGATGGCAAAGAGGTCTGTCTTGGCATCTTACTTTTTCGTACCGAGTTCCCCTTTTTCGGAATATTCACCTTCTCTGCGGAACTCCTGCTGAGTTTAGCTCGCAACGTTCCGAGGCTTGCAGGTTCGATAGATGCCAACCCGTGATCGATAACAAACGCAATACACTCGAGTCAACACAACACTGTTCTTAGACACAGTGGCCAGCTCGCAGGCCCATTCGAGTTCGTAAAGTTCACTCCAGTTTGGAAACACTGTAACAAGGAAACATCTCTATGCCACTAAAACACACAAACACACAAGCACATGCACTCTCGGAGTTCTGGAAGGGTGTCCGCATTCTTTTTCGCATCGGCACAGGCCTGTTCAAGACAGATGGAGCACAAGTTTTTTCACGTTGGTACAGGATAGGCAATAGGAATGAGGAATTACAACAGCGGCACAACGAGAACGGAACATACGAGAACAAGAACGCTGAAGGAGAGAGACAGTGCCTCTATAGTGTTTATGTGCGGAGTCCACCTGGACGTCGAGCACAAAGTTCATCGACAAAGTCGGCGAAAAGGTACAGTAGACGCTGCATTCCAGCAGCACACGCTGACACGTGATGCGTCTCGTAGACAGTTTCTTCTTAGTGTCGTCCTCTAACTTGTCATGAACTGGCGAGTCCTTGGTGAAGGTGTGCGACTGGCGCTAGTTCACAATCCTCTATGTAAGGAGCTGCAGAGGTGTCCAAGCAAGCGAGGTTTTAGGCGCTCAGCTTATCAGAGCTTAATCTGCCTCGTAATCTTGATTCTCCTACTACCCTCCTTCAAGGAGGCATTCGGGACAAAGCTTGCATCAAGCTGCTCGATCATCAAGCCCCAGAAGGCTAGAACACGTCCACAAACAAGGACTCGTATGAGTAGATAGACGGGCCACTTGGTTATGCAATAAATTACCGTGTTTCCATAAGCTACTAGTAGCTGGCAATACATTGTGTCAATATTTACGTGTACTTTCTGATACAGCTGACAGACAACCAACATTGTCTTGTTTGTAATATAAATACACAAGGAAGCTCCGTGAGCAACTGAGCACCCCTGTTTGGTCCTTCCCATATATTGGCGAAAATATTTCTTCGCCATGTGATCACATATGCTGCTGCTAGGCTTTGATTGCGTTTTCTTCAAAGCCGTGAAACTCCGATGGCACCATTAAAATTTCGCAACGGCGCAGAGCGAAATAAGAAAACTTGAGGACTCGAAGGAATACATTCCTGGAGCTAAAATATTTTCAAAAAGCCGTGCCAGTATCAAGTGACTTAGTCGCTAATCCTGCTGTGAATAACTAGGTACCTTCGCAGAAACTTTACGACACTCGTTCCTGGCGGGTCTCATGTGCATGCTCTGTGCCAATACTCTGCTTCACAAGGCTATTTGAATAATATTACCACATGCGGTAACCATTATCCGATTGCTGAAGCCTATTCACATATTATTACAATATTGCTCAATAAGATGCTCTTGTGAACTTTAAGTCATAATGCTTTCACACTTAAATGGTGACCTTTCTTCAGGGCATAGTCTTAGTTTTTGTAGCTGCACGTTAGCTGCATCACAATCATTTCGGCTGTAAACTAGCGTAAGGTCTCGGCTTTTAACCTCACTCAAACGATATCGACATATCAATACCCAAATGGTGATATTGCATAACCTCTAACACCGCAAAATTATCTTTCGGGAAGGGTTGTGACTCTATAGTTGTTTACAACCCAAGAAAGTATTCCAGTAATGCAAGCTTGTGAAGTTGCAAATCACTTTCGATAGCATTTCTGATGCGAACTTGATCGCACTTTGTATTGCAGCGTTGTTTGGGACAATAGGACACAGGTACCGCATGAGAAAGAATAGCTCATCCACGACGAATCGCCTCGGCTACGAGCTTCTGGAAACACAGTACGTCGTTGATCAGCCCAGTGGAACACCGAGCAAAATGATCGGGGTTCTCCCATTATTTCTGTACCACGACCAGAAGCGAACCAACGACTCTGTCTGAATAGCAAGTGCCAATCACAACACTCATACGCCTCCCGTTCTAGAATTGATTCAACAGTGTACACAAGCCCGTCCAGATCTGCTGAGTGGCAGTCCGCTGCCTACGTTGAAAGTCCATTCTCATAGATATACGACTTCAGAAGTGCACTTACAGTGCTGACTGTAGCACAACATGCCACATGACATCCCGCTCTGGCCACGCACGACTCCCGGTCGCATCACCTTGAACGGTTTGAAACGCAAGGTTCTCGCACTATGCCCCTGGCGCCACGTTGAGTGTAGTAACACGACCTGTCGCAGCTGAGCAGACTCCTGAAGTGCCGCCTTTTCTCAACGGTTTGCTGTACATCTATCGCCAATACTCGATCATTCGTCCTCGCAAAGTCTCTGAAGAGGCGATAACCACCTCTTCTGGCAGTGAGACCGTGATGTGAACATACCGAGTCACAACAGTCTTCCGCTCCATTCTGAGAGCCATTGGCTGTAAGCATTTCGAAGTCATTTCAGGGGAACGCATCGATAGTGAAATGCCGTTAAGCCAAGGCTCTTACTCATGATTGTTATAGTCAGAAGTGGACATGGTTCATAGTGGTGGCTCAAGGTACGTCTTATGTTCCGTCACAGCACTTTGTCGAAGTGCAGTCGCACCACTAGCATGCATGTGAGAACGCAGGTATTAACTTTTAGGGACCACTGTGGCATGTCGCCAGAGATGGCACGTCATATTGTGCTCGAACTTCATCAGCTCGACAGCTTCATCGGTGGCAGGTGATATTTAGCAGCTCGCATAGCCCTAACAGCCATGCTGGGTCTGGCACAAAGAATGTCTCGAAGCGTCGGGCAATTGGAGACGAAACACGATACTTTTTCTGTAGTGGTATTCTAATGTTCTTCCGTCAGTTCGACGATTTCATTGTTTACCTCCAGGGATGTCATGTGAATTTTCGATGTCTCCACGGTGTGCACCACATAAAAAGTGCCCTGTGGGAGTATAGGGACATACGAAGGACACGTACTTTGAAGAAGTATCAAGGATCCAACGCTGACACGTTGTCTTCGATTAGGACAACGCTCATGCACTTTTAAATGTAGGTCCAGGTCCCTAGCACCCTAAGCCTGTTGAAGAAACGCAATACTGGAAGCGCGTCAAGTCTTCCAACCCTAGGAACACTTCGAAACGCTGTTCAACGTTGGCAGCTCAGGAGCGAACGAATTTAACAGACCCTATCAAAAACGGTACGAAAGTGCATCTTGCTCTTGTATCACTCTTTTTTCTTCCTTTCTTCCAAGAGCAATCTTGTTCTTCGATGTTGCCTCTGGGATAAAAACGTCCCGCGCTGATAAAAGTCGAAGGACAAAACGTGGTCGCCGCCGGCCCATGGGTCTGTCTAGCTCAGAATCCTTGAACGACTCCGTACGCCTCGAGGGCAGACATGGTCACGTAGAAGACCCAGAGGCCGCCGAAGAGGATGGTGGTGGGCAACTTGAAGCGCATCGGTCCCCCTAGTTCTCCGCCTACGATCTTGTTGCGGCGCATAAGCAAAACCACGCAGCACAAGAGGGCGCAGACGCAGAAGATGGTGACTGAGAAGGCCAGGTTGCCCGGAAGCACCTCGAATGTAGTGCCCCGTCCCCAGTGCACGAGCGCCGCCAGCGACCATGCGACGCCGATGCCCAGGAAGACGTTGACCGCGTTGCTGCCGGTCACGTTGCCGATGGATGAGTCAGCGTACTTGTCGTTTTGAGCCGCCACCTTGCTGGCGAAAGGTGTCTGCGCGAGAAAATAAAATTAAACGTGAGTTAATGGGGGCAGTGTGAAATCCCACAATGTGATTTCTTTCAGTCTCACGCGGAGTAATGAATAAGAGTATTTGTGACTTAGGAACGTGCAAGTGTAATAAGACAGTGAATATGTTCTAAATATATAATTTTTAGGTCCGTATTCACAAACCAACCTCATAATTTCTTCGAGTTTTCCTATTGGTTTTAAACCTTTATTGCGCATGATGAACGAATTGAACCAGTGTCCATGAACCAGTATAGTCCTTATTTTTCAACCTGTTACAACGTTTGTGGCTTTATAACGCATTTGGAGAGTACAGGAAGCTGAGGAAAACGAGAAGTAAGGCCGAGGTTGGTTTGTGAATACGAGCCTTATGCTTTCATCGCCTCCACTTTTTTTATTTCACTTGAGGCGTTGCCTTGCTGGACGCGCATACCATTGCTCAGATTTCACGGGCACTTATAATGACGAAACATGGCTGTGAGACGTGCGGAATGGCACAATGCTTTGCCTAGTTTTCCCAACGTTGACTGCTACGTATGGAGCAGAGTACAGACAGTCCTACACTCTACACTTTGTAACAACGAGTGTTTGCGGTATCTTTCTGCCATAGAACAATAATAATCATCTGGCTTGCTTGCGTTTACTTTCTCGAAAACTGTGTGCTCTCCACCTTCGTGTCGAAAGTAGATTGCTCCGTCACGTCGATGGCCGCATGGCTTTCTTAACAGGGAAGTACCAGACGAAGCAATAACTAAAGAAAGGGCACTCAAGATATATTTTTCTTGTGTGAAAGAAAAATATGGACCATCTCCCCGAAGGGAACTGTGATGGAATGCGAAGCAGCAGCGGTGCGCACGGCGTTGACCCGGCTGAAACGGTCGTCGACGCGAGTGCTGGAATAAAGGTTTGAAGTGAAACTCGGTGTAGCGTTTACAGGAGTGAACGTTTGTTTGAAAGGCAAAGACACGGTAGGCGGGTTGGGGTTGGGTTTCCTGTTTCATTGCAGAAAGAATGTTTGCTCGATGTGCGCTCGAACGTTGCGAGCGGTGGAGAGGGTGAAGCGAGGGAGATGACGCGCGGCGAGCGGTGACAGGATAGGGAGAGAATGACGTCAACGCGTGCGCACTGCGAGGGAAGGCGTGGCCTACTTGGCACCGCCCCAACAACTGCGGCTAAGAGAGCGTAGTGCGGACGGAGGGACAGCGTTACACAGGCTATTCAAGGAGCTGCTTCGCATTTAAAACACTCGGTTTATTTTAGAGTGTAAATTATGGAATGTGTCAGAATGCTGGCAAACCACGTAATCAAGGGTATAAGATCGAATGACGACCAAGACGAGATTCTAACAGAGGATAGCCAGTCTCGGCTGCCCTTAACCAATATCCGGCGACATATCCGACGTATCAAAGAGCTACGTGAAATTAGGTGTGTTTATTGACAGACTCGCACTCGGTAGAAAAGTATGCAGATACATATGAAGAAACCAATAACAAACTCCGATTTCGTGTGTATGTTCCGCCCTGCTATTTGTAATATGCAAGTGACGTTATAAAAAACGAACTTAAACGGTAGTTATGTGCACATTTAAAATAAACATTAAGGTATTCAATACTGGAGTACATGCTGAGCTCCAATATACCGTTCCGAAAGAGAAATACAATGTGTGTGTGTGTGTGTGTGCGTGTGCGTGCGCGCGTGTAAAGGCAATGCGGGGAGGTAAAGTAGACATTGCCCAGGTTGCTACCATGTAAGTGTAAAGTGCAATCGCGGAGCACAAAGAAACGCCAGAAACCATACCAGGTATGCTTGTTCCCAGGGCCACCAGCGAGATGGCAGTTACTGAGTCCTTGAGTCCAATGGTGCAACCAAAGTGCGACGCAAGGTCGCCCACAAATGCGGTCAGGACGCCGATGAGGAGAATGCTGGTCACAAAGCAGGCCCATCCACCCCAGTAATCTGCAGCACGAGACGAAGTCGTGCATATAATGTCGTCCAAACTACGGTAACGCTATTACAATAGGCCAGAAAAACTGTGTATACGAGCAAGGGGCTCCGGGGAGAAGCCAAATTTATTAGAAAATTAAGCGAACATACTTGAATACGTCACAAGAACAACAAAACACTATTTAGGTTCTTGAGCGTTTGCTCTACAAAGGCATCAAACCATTTTTTTTTTCGCCGCTGGAGAATTTCAGGTTATGGGCGTATGTCTCCGCTGTTTTAAGCGTGCCAGAACCTTATATCGAGCAAAACTTTCACGTACAAAAAAAAAAAAAAGACGCTGCGCCGAGAATTCAACATCAGGCAAGCTAGTGGAATGGCTTGGAGGTGCGATTCACTTTTCGCTTTTGTCTACATGTATTTTGATCCGCAATTCAACGTTCATGACTCGTGAAGCACCCCTCTAGCTCGGTGAGAAAACATGTACTGCCGAAAGCCAACACTGCTCTAAACAGTTTAGCAAAATCTTGAAATTGTGAGCGGCAAGGAACCTTTAGAAATGGAGGACGGAGCTGCCCTTTCCTCATGCAAAGGCCTGCGCTTACTCTCTTCAGAGCTGCCGGCACCCATTATATGACGTCAAACAGCAGATGTCATTGTATTTGTTAAAAACCGACTTAAACTAACAATGACGTCTGGATCAGATATACTCCCCACGGGCTGCCGCTGTGTGCCGTGCCACGCCCCCATATTCTGATAAAATTACACAGTGACTAACTACACTAGTGCGTACAGGAATCACACACAACACACACACAGAGAGAGTGATCGCCATTCATCGCGCGCACTCAGAGTGAAGGTTATGAGTGGTTCGGCTCACCTGTCGGGGGGACGAACGCGAAGATGACTTTCCAGAAGACGGTGAACACGTGCATCACGTAGTCCGAGCAGGAAGGCATGCGCACCGTCACTTCGTCGCCATCTTCGCCACCCTCCTCGTCGTCGTCTGGTGAGTCGGGAGAAAGGGAGAAGCCAACCGGAAGGTTCAGTAACGAACCCGCCTTCAACAACAAACCATTCGGGCTTATCTATACATCACACTAGTGAACAATACGGTTAAGCAAGTCAATCTTTAAACAAGTCTATATGTGCGGCTACGCTTGTGTTTTTTTTTCCTCTCTCTTTGATCAGTGTAACCTTTAGTGTAATGAGAGCACGGAGTGATGTTCTTTTGCACAAGTTCACACCAGTCTCTCAACGAAAGACTACGAATGTCGAGGAACAGACCTGACAGGAATAGAAGAACGCAAATGTTAGAATATAATGCATGAACACTTCTCGCGGTACATCTTAAACTTTTTGGGACCCTCGCAACGCGAAAACGAAGCAAAGCCGCAATACAAGCGATGAAAGAGAAAATCGAGACGTCAGATACCTGACCAAATAACATTTTTTTTTTGCGTGATTAACGCACGAGGAAAAGAAGCAACATGATAGGTTAAAGCTGTGTTTTCTTTTTTTTTCAAGTACTCTGAGCTTTAAAACAGGTTTTTCTCTCAAGCATATTGCACCAAGCAGCCACGTTGTTGCAAACAAAAGTGATATTCCAGAGCACTAAACTTCTGAACACTTTAAAACGTACAAAACAAGATGAAAAATAAAACTAAAACTGAATGGCATATGTGAACGGGAGCCTGCGTACTAGAAGCGCTTCTGTTTTAATGCATATTAATCTTCGGGTACGCGAAATGCTGCCTCATCTTTATCACTGTTCGGAATCGATGATCGCCATTGCGGCAGCAAACATTTTTAGGACAGCGTGCACAAACCTTGCAAAATCAGTGGGCTGTGCAATCAGGGACGCAATAAATCAAGACACCGCACTTCTTCCAGGTTTATGTGTTTCGCACGCCCAGTCTTAGAAAACGAATACGCAACAAACAGCTCAGCTCTCTGTTATTCTGAGCAGAGCTTGCGTTAGCGTTTGGCGCCTTTGTGCACGCAGGATACAAGTCATCAAGTGGTCTTGTCAGTTTGACAAGTGGTCTTGTCTTCTTCAAGGCAGCTACTTCAAGGAAGCAACGAGGTAGTCGCTGCTTTGAAGAAGCCAAAATTACCGCAAAGTGAAAGTACGCGCTGCCTTAGATAAACAGAGACGAACGACACAAGAACAAGAAACGGACAAGCAGCTTGTACATGCCTGTTTCACGTTCAACAAGGACTTCGTCCTCGCTTGCTTCGTTTCGCAAGGTCCACACGGTCCTTGTTCGTTTCGCGATGGACGAGGGCCTTGCGGACCTTGAGAAACGAAGAAGGACAAGGTCCTTGTTGAAACACGAAACAGACAAGGACAAGGTCCTCGTTTGGTTCGTGTTTCTTGTGTCATTCCTATCTGTTCATCTATGCAATGCATCGTTTCACTTCGCAATGTCATAACTTGTCCCACCTAAAGCACTTCTATACGACTTGTCAAAACGTGGGCTCTTGCAGCACTAATTGTACACAAATTTCTCCAGCTCTTCATGCCTAAGATCTTGCCATTTAGCCTGTTGGTGTGATGTCTCACGGATGAAGACAACACAGGCTGATGAATGCTGTGAAGTAATTCAGGCCTAGACAATACTGAGTTTACTGCTTCGTTGGCAATGGTTAGTTCTGATGTTCAAAGCACTTCAGTGGCTGAATAAATGTAGATTGTTCAGAGCTACCTGCAAGTAGGAGACCTCATTGTTCTCCAATTTCCCGCATCACGGTGTAAAACTGTAAAGCCGATTCGCTAGACGTTGTTTCGGAGGCCAAACAACTGTAACGTCTTAGGAGTTTGTGCGATACCATGCTCACCTCTGCCTGACAGTTATTGCCTATGCCCATGCACCCCACTTACCTTTGGTAAATTTCAAGCTGGCGCTCTCCATTTCGAACGCTTCGGGCGAATGAAACTTGTTCCGCTCGTCGTCTTTAACCGTGCACCGTTTGTGTTAGGATGGGGGTGCAGGTTAGAGTTTATACATGCATGGTAGTTTTTTTAGTGTTTTTTTTTCGAGCAGTGAGTCAAGCAGCACGGCAGGCAGGCAGCAAGGTAGGCAGGCAGCAGGCCCCCACAGGTCGTCAGCAAAACGAAGACGCAAAACCAAGGAAAAAGGAAACAAAAGAAAAAAAGAAGAAAATTTAAGGAAATCGAAAGGACCAGTGAAAAACAAGTGTTAAGCGAAGCTGTCTTCGGTTGTCTCTATTAGGTCCGATATGAAAAGATGTGCGATGATTAGTATTGCATTGTATTGAGACAAAATGATAAGGGTGCCTCATCAAACAGGAGAAGTGGCGGTCGGTGGCGTTGGTGTCAACACAACTCTTACAAAAGTCACGTGATTAAAGTTATTACGGCTTCACATCCATACCGTATATTCCGTATGTCATTTCGATACCTTGATATGTTTCCTTAGAGCCTTACAGAAATGTACGGTAAACGCATGGAAAAAGTAAATAAACGAACTCAAAAGACCCGTCACGCATGCTCTTAACACAACAAGACCACGAAAGTCAGCTTCTTTTTCTTCTTAGACGATGTATTGATCCTCAGCCGCCAAGCCCATGAAAGCTCTGTGTGCCTAGTGGTTTTACACGGCACCCAGGACTAGAGACATCGCAAGTTTCCGCACCTCACCTGACATTGCACTGACCCCTGGTTTGGCCCACCTGTTAACAAGCGACGATGTCAAGTGATGGTGCCATTATACAACGGCCTTTTATGCGAACTAACGATGACGTCACGGTGATATGACACAAAAGTTTGACGATTCCTGACGCCACGTCGTCATACGGTGACGTGCTTAAGTTACGAATTTCGCATCACTCGTGCTAAAGCCGACTCCACGGCATCACGGTCGACGCCGATTGTCAACCGTCGAGTTTGGTGAGGCTTCTTATGATGTCGCCTTATTATACAAATTCTTCAAGGAGACATATAGAAAATAATGCAATGTCGTATGATACGTTACCGTACAGACATTTTCAAGTCTTTTGACGTCATCATGAAATACTGATAAAGACGTGGCGTGACGTCACGAAGTGACATTTGCGCTCGGCTGAAGGTTTGCACATTCTGGAGGCTGTGCAAAACCACTTGAGGTGTGAATGTTTTCGGGGGTAGAGGGGGGATGCGATTAGTGCAACCGAGTAGAAAAAGGACACAACGAACAAGGCGTTTGTTTGCCTTCGAGCTGGTTTAGGCGTATCCTTCTTGAAAATTTTTAAAGGTGAAAGCGGTAAATATCTCATCACATGCAAAAAAGTGACTATTGGTGTCAACAGTCAACACGAATAATGCACAAAATTTGTGTGATGACGTCCCTAAATGACGTCACAATGACATCACGCATTGTAGAAATTAGTGACGTCAAGATATGACGACATAACATGACATCGTCGCTTGGTCATAGGCGGGCCAATTCTAAAGCCACTGCTTTCAAACAAAATGTAGACGAACTAATAGATTGATTTCGTAGCCAAGTCGTCCTACGACGAATTTGTAAAGGAATCGTGTGACCTTTTCAGTCCTCTACGTTGTGACACGTCTGGCGCCCTCTTTCGGTTGGCGTGCCCTGACACTACCCAACCAAAGGTCCCCGAGTATATAACATCGCAGCTATGACGTGTCTCCGGCTCTACTAAACTGACACTACCCAACAAAAGGCCCCCGACTATATAACATGGTGGCCATGACGTGTCTCTGGCTCTACCAAACTGAACAGGGTGGTAACTGCGTTTAATTTTATAGCTGTACCGCCGCGTTCTAACCTTAACCTGGAGCGTGAACTCGAACACCATCTAAAGGACAGAGTGTCGAAATGTTGGATGTGTTCTTTAGAACTAAGCAAGCAGCACAGAAGTTAAATACGCATTGTGTGATTCTAGAAAAGTGAGTTTCTTGATATCCTTGGATTTTTTTTTAGTCCTGTGGCAGCTGTGGATGGTATTAAACATTTTAGCAATTTAAACAGGCCTCACCGATACGACGAAACAAAAAAAGCTTCGCTTTCAAAAAAATAAAAAAACAGAAAAAATCTGTTTGTACTGAAACTCAAACCACGTAACTAAAACAATAAAAAAAATAAAAGAATGCAGTCATTACTTACCTTGCCTTCATTAATTATCTGTTTCAGGCTTGGAAATTAGAGAACTTTTCTATCAGCGTACGCGTCAGTTAGTACTGCTCTGATTCAGCCTGAGCGGCAAAAGTGCTGAATATTGATAGGCACCGCTTACGCCATCATGAACACGTAGTGGCTTGTAAAACGTCAACTACCACTGTATCACAAATCACTCCGCCAATTCAGTTGTTTTATAACTAATTTCAAGCTTGCGTAAGTACTTGCGTTTTTTTTTTTTGCGTTCTGTTCAAGTTACGAAGTGCCTTCTGGCTGTTGGCATATCGAAAGGGTCACTTTACTAATAGAATAAAAAATAGCTTTACTGCTCTGAGGGTGCTTCATTAAAAAAAAAAAGCCGTTGAGTTAGTGATGAATAGCATGAAAAGTCCAACAAATCTCAGCTCAGACAAGCACGTCATTATTCGTCTTCTTCACCACGAGATAGGATAAACAATCTTGCCCATGCCATTTGCGTTATATTTCGATAGCATTCCTACGTGTCTGATTACAACGTGTATACATAAAAGTGCAAATAAAGGATCCCACCTTGCTTTGGATGCCACACTCACTTTCTGTGCTCGCTTCATCAAGTCATTCAAAATGATCATGTAAAGAATAGTATTCCAAGCACTGTCGTACGTTTCATCGACGCAACGGTGCATAATTGTGCTCTCTTGAATGTATAGCGTGAACAAATGCACGAAATCAAAGAAGTATACGTTGACTGAGCAGTCTAACTTGCCAGTTGAAAGCGATGTTTTATGCAAGTCTGGTGAACTAAGGCGTAAAACAAACGTACAGTCGTCAACAAGCCTAACGCGAACGCTCCGACGCGTGACCTGGACTGATATGACTGATGTCAGCCGCGAAGCGCTGGACATTGCTGTCAAGATAATACCTCGGTATGCTTCGGTAGTACGTCGGCATGCACGGGTAACATCTCGGCAACAGAATCTAAAGGTATGCGATGCTAGCGTCGATCGAACTGTTTCAGGACACACTGGGGAGCGTTCGTGTTAGGCTTGCTGACGACTGTACCTAAGAAAGTAGGTATCGTACAAAGCAGGCGTCCTAAGGCAGTAGAGTGTGCAGTTTTCGATTGAAAAGCGCGAGACGTTCAACTCGAGAACAGCACGAACTGTGTCGACTGCGCAGGCAGTGGGTTAAACTACACTTTACACGACATCTGAAAACATCTAAAGAACAATCCGGCGCTGTCTCTCAACCCCATTATTATTTAGAAAAATCTGCAAAAGTGAGTTTAGGCGTGCTCATAAAATAACAGGAGAGTGAACACTTCAGGCGGGAGTTATGGGGATCGTACGAAAATTTCAATTTTTACGGCAGGAAAAAATGCAATAGCTGACGGGACGAGTTTGTAGCTGCTTAATTGGCGATAACATCAATTCACGAAAACATCTTCACTATATTCAGTATAAAACAGCATTCATTCCTCTGTCACGACTGTAAAATATCCGTGTACTGCTAAAGTCAAACTCTGTCGCGTTTTTGTTGCTTAACAGACCTTCATCTAAGTACTGCCAGACAGCAGCCTAAAATGTTTTTCACTGCATGCCCAAAGTATACGATAATGACGTTATTCACGACACTCCAATATGTTATGCGTATGGTCATGAGCTCGCCAACATTATTTTTACAATACAAGGTCGTATATAAAACGTCTACAGGAGAATCTCAAAGGATAACACTCTTTCTTTAATGACCATGACGATATATATATATATATATATATATATATATATATATATATATATATATATATATATATATATATATAACTTTCTTCATCAGAGATGTTGCAAGAATTTTATATTTTGGAGGAGTCTCACACACAAACGCTCGTATAGATCGGAGCGTGTGATTATGTGAGCACGAGCGTGTTCATATATGCCAGCAACTAAGCAAACAGACACGAGGAAGGTTCGAATCCCTCTCCCTCTGAGTGCGCCTATGGCCTTCAAGCAGTCCTAACACGGTCGAAATAGCCGCGAGGTTGCGCCACGTGCGCTAGCAAATAAAAGAAAAGGGGGAGGGGGCGCACCTTACCTATAGTCGCAAAAGCGAGACCTATAGCGCTCGACCTTTTACCGTAGGATCGTTCTCGGGAGCTTTTACAACTGCCGCGACAACGATAAGATCGCTGCATGAAGGAGGGAGAGCCCCGCGTTTTCCTTCGAAAGACGGCCCAAATAGCGCAACTTTGCCCCACTCGTAAAAAAAGAAAAGGAAATCAAGCGTACCAACAGAAGCTCGTGTGAGCGAAGTAGCGAAACTTCTAAGGTCAAGGAATGCTTTCGTTACGGCAAGTTGGCGCGATGTCTGCAAAGTTAAACTCCACTAAAACCAGCGTGTTTTATTCTCTCGACGTCTCTTGTACTGTTTAACGTTCGTAGGTGTTCCAAGCTTAAGGTACGCATTGGAGATGCACGCTGAGATACTTTGGTCGTCGTAAAAAAAGCTGGCTGAGCTTTGACTCCTGTAAAAATAGTTATCACGAGCGAGAGGTGTGTTTGGTCTTGGTCTTGCAAAGACGACGCACACAGGCGGCTTCCATCGTGGCACACTTTCACTATTGAGAATCTTCTCGCTGACGAGCTATCTAGCCTATTTTCGATCCGATCTTTCAGAGATCATGCAGTTTGCTGTGCAGCTTGCATATTTACTGGATTGTAAGGAGACTACTATCGTAATGCGAGGGGTGACTTTTCGTTGTGTTTAGAAAAAAAAATGATGAAACTAAGCTGTTATATTGCAATGTGAGGGTCGACTTCAGGCAGCAAAAAAAAAAAAAATCTAGCGGTAAATCAACTCGCGTTACATTCGAGTACATACTCCATATCTTATGGGTGATCGAATTCTACGTGTGGTTTGCGCAGAAGCACACGCGCAGGCAGTTCAGACATCACGTGATTCGCGGCGAGAGTGAGCGACAGAGCACCGGTGAAGTAGCTGTTGAAATTCGATCTACGGTCGTGTGGCACCGAAGCGACGACGTTTTAATGATTGCCGTCTTAATGATGTTTTCTACGAGTCACAGCCTGTACTCGCTCGGTGTAAACAGGCGTTGCCTGATATAAAACCTAGCGCACTCAAAGCAACGGTAGTTTTTGTGCACGAAGCCAATCAGTCTTCTGCACTATTTCAAAAGGGAATCGTTCTGAGCAGTTCCTAGCCAATTAGGAAGTATATTTAGCATTGCAGTGAATATACAGCACCCTAAACCAATGTACTCAGCGGTGATTTCTGTGCACTCACAGCATGGTCTTTCCGTGCGTTAGCAGTTGATTGTTAAGAACAGACTCAGATAGTGTAGGTTCCAAATAAAACAACGCACTAATTCTGCTGTTTGATGTACTGCTATCCTGTAGGCGTTGGCGTAACCAGGGGTGGCACAGCGGGCCTATGCACCCCCCCCCCCCTAATTTCTTAATGCGATAGCGTTAACGAGCTCGTTTCGCAAAAATTCGGGCGTCGGCGTCGGCGTCGTTGGTTGTGAGCGAAAAATCATCTTATGCACGACCAAAAACTAGAGAACAATGCAAATAAAATAAATAAATGATAAAAATTCTGAGGCAGAGTGGGGACCGAACCAGTGTTGTTTGGGTCCAATTGGGGATTGAACCTGGGTCGTTTGCAAGGCAAGCAGGTGTTCAAGCACACGACCACGCCTCTGCTTGTGAAAACAGTAAAAAGAGAAGTTCCTCTGCTTGGAACTGCCGTGAAAGCAGTTTTCATGCTTCACGAACACACGTCTCCTGTATACACGCTTCACAATGCAACATGAAATATTGCCGTAATGATGCGTGGTACAAGCGTTGGCGTCAGAGTATGTGATTATCATAACGGCTCCGTTGTTGAAAGCCAATACCCCGGTACAAAAGGCACACACGCTACGGCACCTATTACTTTAAGACCACGTACTGCGCGTATAGCGAATTCGAAAGGTTCTGTGAACTAAGTGTTTGAAGGACGCACTAGCAACAGGATGCTGCTATCGCGTTTAAATCCTAAAGGCGAAGCTTTTGGGTCCCCTAACTTTATCGCCTTGGCATACAGAGAAACAAAATTGAATTTTAAAGAGACAACCCCACCCCCATAGAGCGCAAAACATCTATGCGTACACCTCTGCCTGTATGCAAAGCCCCCAGTAAGCTGGGCGAGCAAGAAATAGCTTGCTTATAGTAGATAACAGAGTACTTAAAGTACATTATAAGGTATTATAATATTAATAGGTCCTTTATTTTTTATCGAGTAATAACACCATATAAAAGATAAAAAATGGCACAGAACAAACAAGTTTGAAGAGTTTTCATTAATTTAAAGGTCCTCTTTACCTTTCTTATGTCCCGTTTCTTGCTCTTGTAGGCGCTGGTAATACTTTCTAATACACCCGTAGCAACTTGCCCAAGCTTGAATTCTTTCAACATAACCTAGTCGGCGACTTCTTTTCTTTATAGAGACAAATGTTTTCGTCACCGACTTCAACATTCAGGCAGGCGACATGCCAATTTCGGGTGGACAGAGAACAGCAGCGCTGCTGAATGCATAGTGACCGTTGAGTTAGTCGATGCATATAACGCACCAGGCGAGCACACACAGAAAACGAAAGAATTTTGACGCATGCCTCGAAGCAACAGGCAAAGGTCGGAGTTAACGCGCATAATTTCATAAGAACAATCAGGCGCATTTACCACACTATAGAGATGCGAGGCAGTTTTTCAAGTGGCACGAGTGCGAAGGTTACGTACCCGCGACCACAGTGAGGGCTTCGATGAACTGCTCTTTCCAAGAGGATGTTCCGATCATCAGCGAAACGTTGGCCTTCTGGAAGAGCTTGTCCACAGTGTTCTGTAAGGGCAGGTGCAAATAGACGTCAGCTTGTTGGCTGACGCAAGCGATGAAATCTGATGCGTTTCACGAAGGGCAAATCATGCGCAGCGATGCAGAAACAAGTATGAAGGATGTTGTAAGAGGAAATGGTGATGTAGATGTGAAGAAACAAAAGAAACTAAAAGATGACTTGCCTCCGGCAGGATCCGAACCGGCGACCTACGAAGGTCGGTCGCAGGTTCGGATTCTGTCGGTCTATAGCGAGTTATCTTTTCACCCGTATTCCTCTTCTCCTATTTGGTATACAATTAGTTCTAATAACATCCCCTACACTTCTCTTGGCATCATTGTCTGTTAGTTCTCATCAATATTGTGTCTAACAAAGAGAAGCTATATCCTTTAAATTAACTTATTTCCTTCAAAACATACGGAATACACAAGAAACAATGCAATATACTCATTTTAATATAACATGCTAAACATAGGATTAAGAGAACATAGATACGCGACTGAAAAGTTAAAGTCCCAAAGGTTTAAGTGCTCGAGCCGGTGTTTCGAAAAGGTGACTTGTATTCTTCATGCATAGAACTGATTTCCCTGTTTTCTTAGAACCGATTGATTTCCTAGAACTAATTTACCACAGCATCCTAGTTTGCGCATTTTTAATCGCGAGCTTCCAACTTCCTTTTCCAACAGCTTTTTTAGTCTCCAAGGCTTTTAGGGGCGCACTATGGCAATAACAAGGCTTTTCACTGCTGTGTGTAAAAAAGAAGCTAGAGAAATTATGAAGGCTTACTTCATGCTTAAAGATGATCCGTGAAGCCACGTGATTTTTTAATCTGTATACAGTTTTCTACTATTACCCAGAGCTAGCTCAGGTGCCTGCGACAGTTCAACGAGCACGGTAATGATGGATAGTACAAGAATTTGCTATAACTTCGTGCTTGTGGCTTCGAACGAATGCATCTCGGAGGCCATATTTAACCTTTTTGTTGACAGCCACACGGTGGCACTTCAAACAATTGCGCTCACTGTAAAATTTCTTCAGTTCCCGAAAATCTGATAGTAGCGCAAATAGAGACACGGCGGACGCGCAGAACAACACGCCACAGACGCTTTTTTTTTTGCGCTACATCACAAATTTCAGCGAGCAACAACTAGCCGAAGAACAAGTCCTTCCGTAGAACATTTATATCCCTTCGCGTTTCACGTTAGGTTTTGGAGCAATACGAAGCAAGTAAAGCTAGTTTTAAGACACGCAGGATAATCGATACATTTATAACAAGTAAACACAAAAATACAAATCGGCCATGTGCAACTTGGGTTCGAGACCAGAGCTAATGAGTGAAAAGCGGGCATTCTACCTCTCCACTTAGTTGGAGCTGCGCGCCACTCTTCAGCGGCGACACACTGTGGGTTCAAAATCGCAGTGCCAAAAGCGGCTGGCCCTGTTTGGGCTTCACTTTTCGAAGCTCTTTCCAAGGACTCCACTGCACTCTAGTCCTGGTGTTGCAGTATAGAGAGCGAAATGACGAAAATATGCAAAGCAGGATGGAAAGGCGAGGTCCACACGAGTGATGCGAAACATCATGGTTATGCGTGTGAGTCATATATCGCAGATCTTCAGAAGTTAACGACTTGCCATGTGATTTATGTTTATGCTTAACCTGGGCAATGAGGGAAAATGCATCGTGCCTTAGAAATTAACCAACAACAAATTATTTAGAATTTTCTCGATGAGTAGTTTTGTATCACACAGCGCCTCTTCATTTTCGTATTGTGGCCTCCGCAGTCAGTTCCGGTAGCGCGCGGCCGGAGCTAATCGTGGCGGTCACGTTTCAAGCTGAGAAATTTAATTGATTGATATGTTGGGTTTAACGTCCCAAAACCACCATATGAGCTGAGAAACTTAAGTGCGAGACGCACCGACTTACACATTTTGCTGACCAAACTTCCTGCATAGCGTCTACAGCGTTGCACCTGGTGCATTAACCATACGGAGGAAGGAATGAGGGAAGAGGGCATGGCAAGTCGGCGCACTACGTCAAAAGTGTCGAGGAAATGACGTCATGGTGGCCATATTCACTGGCCAATATGACGGCTTTGTTACGGTTACGTGTTGGGCAGCGTAGCTGGTCTAGCAAGGAGCGGCGGCGGCTGGCGGTGGCATGTGCGCCTGCGTACGTTTCGTATATACTGAGCCGTGGCGGACGATATACGTGCTCTGTGGCGCGTTGTTAGTCACGCACGGTTCTACCGGTAGTTTTTGCGCACCTAGCAACGTATACAAAACCTTTTGTTAGCCACGGGGTCTCAACAGTGCGTAGAACTAGCGCTTATTCATGTGCCGTGCGGCAGATGAGGTGGACGAGGTATTTGAAGTGTTCCGCGAAATTTCGTTTGGGCACCATGACAAAACAGAACCGCGACGAACGCCTTGCAGGTCAGTGACGGTTGTATAGTTTTCGTGCTTGCGACACCCGATGAAACTTTTGGCCAGTAAGATTCAATGATGACTATGAGCACATACGTAGTTTCGTGTTCGATGTGTGTACAATAACAACTTTCACGCGTGCATTAAAACACCTTTTTCTGTTTCGCTCCGTGTCCCAATTACGGCCACGACGCCGAGCGCTCAAATACGTGGAAGTAAGGACTCGGACTGCGGCTATGTGTCACCGGCTGACAGGATGCCTGCGCACAGATCCGCGCCAGCTGCCCAGACCCATGCTCAGGGGCGAGGGGCAAACCGGGCCTGCGGCCCCCAGTCGACACCGCGAGTGGTCATCGAGCTCTTAGAAGACGCACTCGTCACATCCAGCATGCTGGAGGCATGTTTCCGCGAAGAGGGGATTTCGCAAGAATTACAAGTGCGTGTGGTGTGTGTGTGTGTTGGGGGAGGGGCGAACAGAGGGACAGATGGGACCCATCAGCTGATTGGAAGAAGTCGTTCCTAGTTTCCCTAGACCTAGACTCTAGGGACTTTGAGGGATTAAAACGCAAGCAGGTGCCCGAGAGAGGAGATCTGAAGCAAACTTTCAAACTGTACAAATGTAAATAAATGTCTTTTATTCCTCTTCAGAAATTGAGTCCGGTTTTTTCCAACAGCAGCTCTTCTGAAAAACGAGGTCTTCGACCAGCTGCCATGGACGCGAGAAAACACGCATGCATGGGCAGTCGGCAGAGCCTCTGAACTTCAACATCGCTGAGCCGTTACTCGCCTATAATACTCTGACGAAATGATTTCGCCAACGGTGTGACACAGGCCCAGCATGTTGAGCCCCGTTTCTATGGTTGCGGTTCGCCACGACGCGCGTTCTGTGAAATGCACGTGGTTTTCGCGCCGGAGACAGAGAGAACCACGCCTACTGCTTCGCACTCGGGTGTCAACAAGCGAGGAGAATTTGCCCAGTCAATATGGCCGACTTCCGGCTTCATCACGGCTTCACAGCGAGGAACGTCAAGGCCTCTTCTCAGTTGTTTCCTTCCTTTATGGTAAAAGCTATCTTCTTGTCCATGAAGTGACTGCTTTACGTCTTTGCTGCCGCTCGTTAAAGGGCCAATTAACAGGCTCCGAAACGTGCAGGATAAGCTCGCACATTTTGCCTGCGCGTGACCAATCTCCTTCAACTCGCAGTGACGTCAACTCGGCGATCGGCGACGTGACGTAGCACGCAGCTCGTCCATTGGTCTGAACCAGGTATCATTAAAGAGTAACTTAGTCAACGTCACCGATCGCCAATTTGACGTCACTGCGTGTGGAAGAAGGTTGGTCAGGCGTACGAAAGATGCGCAAACTTTTCTTGCGCGTTCTCGAGCCTATTGACTGGCCCTTTAAGTGAGTGGCTAGTAATTAAAAACGACTATAATTTGGCTTATGCCTTCCTTATAGATGCTCTCATGGAGGAGCTCGGTTAAAGCACAAGAGCCCAGTCTGAAATATTTCTCCTGTAATTTCACTTTTGCATAGTCACAACAATTTACCCCATCATTCTGGAGAAATGTATTGCTTTACCACGGGGCACCCTTGAAGATTTTGGCAAATGATAAATGGCTGGCGTAATTGTTCCTGTGGAAACGCTGCACGCAACTGCACTTGACCTGCTCGTAGCTTACAGGCCTCATCGAGTATGAGACCCATGGGACGGCTTTATGCTTTCCCGTAGTACTCCATACTGTTACCAACTTTTTCTAAACACATATAGGGTAAAACTGGTTTTTCGACCGACGTGGCGCTAAGCAGCGTCCATTGAGTAGTTATTCATGATTTCGTTTGCAACCAATTGTTTCATTGCATCTACTGCATCATTATACCTTTGTATCATGATGATGCATTGAGTTCTTGTGTACATTTATGCCAACAGTGTCATGTATATTAGAGCACTGATGTCTTTATTGCAACGTAGTGGTGTTTGTCGTGGCACATAGATGTGCCGAAGTGTATGGGCCCTATTACTGGAATGTTATGATACCTTTGTTTTCTGTACATAGTGTAAATATATTTTTTCTAAACAGGTCATTGTTATTGCATATCTAAGAAGAACATGTTCTGTTGAAATGTTATTGACGTCTGTGACAATAAATTTTTCTAAACAGGTCAGAGCTGCATGTGAATTTGTATGTAATGGGACGATTTTCTGCTCTCCCATAGTAAAGTACACAGTAATCTAAATCGTTCAACACTTTACAGTAGAGTACTGAGTACTCTAAATCACTTACAACGTTTTCTAAAGGCATAGTTGCGGAATTGTGTGTGGTACAGCTGCGTTCTTTTCGAGCTACCACCCGCTTGCCCTGCCCGCTTAATAAATCTCTTTTACAATTGTTAACAATACAATACAATTAAAGAGGTCATTATCACGTAATGGCCACCCAACAGGCCCGTAGCTAAGGTGGTGCCCCCCCCCCCTGCATCCATGATGTTTTTATCGTTGAAGGTGTTTTACCAAAACTGAAGAAGAGAAATTGATATCATTTTCTGAAACCGTCCCGTCTTCAGCTAGTCGGCACCATACGAAAAAAGAAATCATGGATACGGACCCACTACTACATGACATCATCAAGATGTCTGACATCACCGAGATTTGTGACATCCTCATGACGTCATCACATGACATCGCTTGGTCGATCACGCAGCCCATTCAAAACCAAGAGAGATGCAGAAAGCATGCAATGCCTCCGATCCCGGAGGCAGTGCTAATTCCCGTTAGGCACAGGAATATTTCGGACGGGTCGCGAGGATGGTCCGAAGTGGATGTCAGTACATCACTTAAGATGCAACAGAGGAATTGGATGGTTTTTGCCTTCAATTCGCGTCAGGCAAATGCTTAACAAACCCTCGAGTGTTTTACGAAAGTATAGTGTAAATGTCCGAGGTTCTCGCTTCCTCTGCTACACCAAACTAATGAAACCAACAGACAGTTAAGCAAGAGAAAGCGTAGAGGACAATATTTGTAGTTTATTAAGTTTATTCTAATGGTTGTCAATTAAATAAAAAATCATAAAAATGCACGAAAAATCACACTTTCCGCCGGTGAGATCAGAAACGACGACCTTCGTATTAAGCATTGCGAATGCGAGTAGCTTTTTTACCGATACTTCACACAGTATTGCAGATAAAAAAAAAGGAGTCAAGTGTAATGGCCCAAGATGGCGAAAGCTAAACAAAGTATCCGCAAAGTAGCCGAAGAAGGCGTACCGACCTTGAACTCTTTGCTCTCCTTGATGCGGACGGTGCAGCGGCACTGGTCGCCTAGCCGCGGTCGACCCATGAGCGCAATCTTCTGCGCCTCGGTGAGCTCGACCTCGGGAACTTCTTCCACGGCGTGCTCGCGTAGGAGATCTGCGGGTAGGGCCACGCAGGCGTTGCGATAAGTGTCGCTACGGCGACGCTTGAGTGAAGATGAGTTAGCGAGGACGCGCCAGAGTGGTACACTCAAGTGAGGAGCGTCGTCGTGGGCCGAGGCAGAGAGTATGATGGGAGGATAGACGTTAAGAAAGTGCAATATTCTTTTCGCTTCGTAGTCCGCGCGCCTCCAATATTAATGATGCACAGCGGCTCAGAAAAAAAAAAGATGATGGTGAAGAACGATGGCTTAGGAAGCGTGAATGAATCTGGGAAAAGCCTCGACTAATTAGTTTTCTCCCTCATCTATGTTGAATATTACACGACCGTTTTGTTATTATTATTTTTTTTTAAATTTTCCGTAAAGCGCCTTTCAAGTTAGGATGCGCGATGGCTTCGACCTTGCTTTAGGCGATAGGTGTAGAAGGTTACAAAAAAAAAATTGAAGAAAATTTAGCTTTGCTTTTGGTTTCGCTACAAGGATCAGCGCAAAGTGAAAGTGACCACGTTTAGTGGGTCGGTATATTTCTTACGTTTTAGCAACGGTCACAAAAGCTGCAGTTTATAATGTGGATGTTTGAACTTTTCAGAATATGAAGAATGTAAACTAGAACACGAATAATTTAATACGATTTCTTCGAAAACAGAAAGCGCATATACAGATTTTATTTGTGCACTTGACATGTAGCTAATTCGTTTACTATATTTAACCTATGTATGTTTAGTAAATAACATTTAGGCAAATAAACATACCAATTTCAAGAAAAGACGTCTTGCTTGAGTAAGTGGCTTTCGTAGTCGCTTCTAAAAAATGCATTCCTTAACGCTCAACAGACTAACTGTCTAGGCGTGAGCATAAGCGTGTATTAAGCGTAAATTTTATAACTACATGACTACATAACTCGAGTGGTCTGATCAGATCGAGCAGTGTTGTTTAGTCTAAATCTTAAGCTACGAGCCTTATATGAAACATTAAAGACATTTAAGCCTTTCATAACGGACTTGCAGGGGTTACCTGGTGCCTTGAATCGCTACTTATTTCTAAAGATATGCTCAAGTAATAGTGTAATATGACATTCAATGCTTTTAGCAATATAAAACTGAATTACAGCTCGAAATGCTCCCCACAGCGAGTACATCGCTGGTTTTGGCCTTTGGTTCGCGAAGCAAATGACAGCGAAGGATGAGTGCCCATTGTCCATATCTAATCTAACGACACGCACTTCAAATGATATTAAGACGCAATGATGCTGGTTTCATATACACGACCTTGCTTTATTTTGTTTACGCTGATGCCTGCTGCAAAAACGCAAAATTGTAGTATAAAATCTGTGCATCGACATTTCTGAACATTGCACCACATGAAATACCTACTTCTACGAAAGTATCTGAGAAACTTTTATTATAACTTTGCTTTTTTGCACGTTTAGTTTAATTATAGTAGGGATAGAGTAATATTTGCCTTCTAGAAAACTGGTGATTTCTGCCACAAGAAACAACCAATATACAGTAAAAATATCACAAAACACTTCTCTTTTATTACTTTGTTTTTTTTTCTGCATGAAGTTTCTTTCGAAGACACAATACACTCGTGTAAAGTTAAAGCGTCCAAAAATGGACGTTCTTAAAGAGGACAACGTGTGAAATTCATGGTTCGGAATGTAGCTGATAATGACAATGTGTTTGTTAATGTGGCGTAATGTGAGTTGAAAGAGTTCAAGTAAGGTGCTGAAGCGACAGAGGTTCTACACAAAAGCAGCTGTGACCTCAGGCTTGGCGGAGTAACTATGAATGTAACGGTGACTTTGTCACGTGATCAATACACACACATGAAGTCATTTTTTTATGTTTACCTTTCAAACCGAACCAAGCAACGAAAAACTACATGTCAAGTCGACATATACTCAGTGAGGGAAGTGATATCTGAGTTCCTCTGAGTTTTTAGTTCTGTTCAGTGAATGTGAATAGGCGATTCGAACTATACAGCCCTGCAAGCAGCTTTAAAACATGCTGTACGTAACTTTCACTTTACAAGTAAACAGCAAAGCGTGTACGCCACGCCATTGGGAGATCCAATTTACAGCACAGTAAAGGCATTTAGCTTGCGAAGAAATGACGTGCAGTAATATTCACTGCCTGATATACTGAAGGAGTACATCTGCTTCAGGTAGACTCTGTCGCCCCACGTGAAAGTATGAGCACGGTGTGGTCAGTGCGGGCAGAACATGCACGATGTACGAACACAGACGGACTATGCGTCATGCCAGTTAGCACATGCCAAAAACAGCAACATCATGCCTTGTGTCTCGAGATTACGATCATTCAAGTGGGACCTGAACCAGTCACCAGAAAACTTTCAGAGGCCGTTAAGGCCACCCTGTTTGCTCAACGCTGCTATAAGGTTTGCATCTGTAGTGACTCCAGAGTGGGAGTGTTGTGTAGGAATTACGGTGAAGGAGTCCAAAAGAAGCAGATATTTAATTAGGGATATTTTGATAAGAGACTCCTAAGATGTTCAGTCTGTGCGAATCATTACAACTCTCCTACTGAACATCAGGCAATGGACCCGTAAGGTTCAGACCAACGCCACTGCATTGGTTGTATGCAGGGTTCACATATAGTGCAAAACGATTTGCTACAATTGAGAGCAGCGTTACAAAGCAAAAAGAAATGGGAACCCCGGGTCTCTTGAAAGTTTCGGGTGAAGGTATCAGTGTTTGTCATGCCAACAGGTATGTTGAATTATGAGATAAATTCAGGGTTTATTCTTGAAGACCATATGCATGTATCAGGGTTGATATAATTGGGTGGGAAGAGTAGAATAATTCATCTTTGCGAAGTCTAAACGTGGCGTGAAAAAACACTAAACATATGCATGGTCGTAGACACCACTGTTTGACTTTGTGTCCATGTTTCATTCATTTTTGCAGTTTTCGCGCCACAGTTCTGACCTTGCAACGACATAGCGTGAAATATTCGTATAATATCTGTTTGAAGAGCAGGCCAAAAAGACGAGTTTTAGGAATTATAGAGATGGTACAAATTAAGGATTATGACAAGCAGGTACTTGAGTTTTTATTAGCTTTGAGAAGATAAAATCACATGACGTTTTAGGGTGTTTTTGGGATGGGCACTTGTGTAAAAATAATTGAGCGTTTAGTTTCGGGGAGGTTAGTTTGTGTGATTGCTTCTAAGCATGAAAATTGCCTCATTATATCTGTATAGTAAAAATTTACTTCTGACAGGCATTTGCACTATTTTATGGTGAACTCTAAGTGACTGTGCAATGTCGTGAATGAATGAGCTTGCGTAAACTCAGCAGTTATTCTTCTTTATTCTTAAACTTAGAACATATACTAGAAACTTCCAAAAGTTCGAATTATTGACTATTTTGTTGCGTGAAAGAAAGGACAAAATTGTTACCAGTTGTGGTATATTCCTATTTAAAGAGAACGTTTAATACCCTTGTGCTTTTTTGCATAGCTTATTGCGCGATTCTGCCTGAAAACAGATAATTTGAAGTTTTAATATTGCTAGATGCATGCTATTGATATACTGGCAATCAATACTTCCTCATAAATAATTGCCCTTAAGCAATAACTTGTCAGTATGCTTTCAGAAATCCGATATACATGTTTGCTTTTCGTGAAGGCAAGATTTTAAACAAATTCAGAGAAATCTGCGGTGAATTTGGGACGTTAAACCCCACATATCAATCAAGAAATCTGCGGTGAAAGTTTGGGAAATATTCGTTTCGTCGGTACAGCTTGACCGGCTGAGATAAATTTGAGCTCATTTATCTGAGTCCGTGACGAATCGTTGACATGACAATCTTGAATGTCGAATCCTGCGTGATGCAATATTACTTGCCCCATGAGCAAGTAAGAGGGAACGGTGCACCAAAAAGTGAAAAAGGCGATCAGGCCAGAAGTGCAGCTTACGTCATGGACAAATGCAAAAAAAAAACATCAAAATTATGTCCATGAACGTAGCAAGAACAAGCAAAAAAGAAACGGTTCTAAACAAGACATTCCCCGTTGTTCCTGCAGATGCCTGGCGACATTCTTTTTTCGAACTGCTTGGTGACTTTCAACGGACGCTGTTTCAATGGGACATCAATTTTCCTACAATGCATTTAGCTTCGTTTCTCGTTCTGTACAACCTGCACTCTAAAAAAGAAAATTAAGTATGCATGATTTCCTTAGAAGAGTACTGACTTGCCACTCATATGACTCTATTTAAAGAGTTCGAAAAATGTGTACACTGGGGTGACTGAGCCGACATGCCTGTCAAGTGGATTTGTCTTCTTAGAGGCTGTAACTGAACCAGATCACAAAGAACAATGATCTACGTTGCTTGATGTCGCCAAAAACAGGTGGTTTTGCTTCTTGAAAGCACATCGCTAGTAAGGTGACAGACTACCAAACTGTCGACGACGAAAGTACGTTTTGTGGCATTTGTGAAGCATTTATGAAGATAGAAAAAAAAAGAACGTGGTATCTGTGGGACAGCGGAGGTATGTGTTGTTTAAAACCATCTAAACAGAAAATTCATACCAATGCAGGCGTGTCATTCACGTACAACAAAAATTTAGCAAGGCACCATGACGAAGCGATACGCTGTTCATACTAGTTACAAAAAAAAAAAAACTGGCTCAAAAGCGAGCGTTCATTACCTGATTTCGTTCGATGCGAGCAGCACGTGGTCTACAAGCGCAAGACAGCGCTATCATCCAAAGAATGAAGCAGCGTATAAGATGGGGAAATAATTGCGATGCAAGAGATAAGAAAAAAGAGTAAGAATGATGTACAGCTGGCAGGCGAATAACTAGGTTGACGTAATCGTGAATGTATTTTGCAAGCGAATAGGGAGCGGCGAGCAGTGCAGATCGCATAAGGAGTGGGGGGTGTACAGAAAAGCCTGTGCGATTACCCCTACCTGATTTCTCATAGGCCAGCTTTTCTTGGATGTAGTAAGGGTCGTCTAGGAACAGGAGGTGACACAGGACGACGGGTTCAGGTTTTGGGAACACGGGAACAGGAGCGAGGGGGATGCACATTTTGAACAAGTTGGGAACAGACGATCCCCCGTGTCGAAGAATGAGAGAAGAGAAGCACAGAACAGAAATGAAGAGACAGAAATAAAAGAAGGAGAAACAGAAGAAAAAAAAACGCAACTTTCAAGACATGCGCAAAACAATTAGAACTGAAGAGAAACACAAAAATAAATCAGCAAGAAGGCGAGATAGAAGTAAAGTTTGTCAAGAAAACGTGAAGGGTTTCCAGTAACATTTCAGAGCTCGTTTAGAATTGTTAACTTCTTCGATAATAGAGAAAAACAGCTGAATATGAAAAATATTTTGACAAGCAAAGTATGCTCTTCTCACCTAATGAAAATTTTGGATTGTCGCAATGCTTACGTATTCGTAACACCTTCGCCGCTGTGTTCTCTTTTTCACAAAAACGTGGTTATGTACTACGTGTCGATATTCGAATCGATTCTGGTCACCGAATATTCCATTCTCAGGAACCAAATATATGTGGCATATCATCGGTATTACGATCTGTTTTCAAGCAGAGTTTGGCGGACGAGACTTTGATCGAACCACGAACCTAGGGCTAACCGAAAAAATATAGTTACCTTTATTGTGGTTTTCATATTAATGTACAATGACAGCATCACCAATTGTGAATGAATGGTGTTTCCACGTATATTCAGGCAAAGGCAGGAGGGAAGCATGTGTTTATGAAATAACAAACGTGTCACTACAAGTGCATGCATTCAATAGCCTTCAGAAGCAGGTTTCAAATCAATGCACACAGTTGAAACCGACGTTAAGACTCAAGTTTAGAGATTCTTTTTTCAATATATCAGTGGCTATATATGTAGCCCTCAATGACAAAAAGCCTTGCCCCTCGAGATATAGTGCCTATGTATATACGCGGTACCTTCTCTACTTAGTGGCAACGGTAGAAAAGACAGGTAATAGGCGAAAAAAATTACATAATACGAAAGAAAATTAGAAATTAAAATAGACTTCAAGTTCTTTAGAGTCTTTTGACTCTAAAGCATTAGGATAAAATTGTAGTAGTACACTAGAAAGCACGAGACCTTCTAAAACATTTTAACAGCTCTTCTAAGAGCAATATCATCTGCTTTGCGAAACAGGAACATATTATGAAAAGCTACGCAGTCTTCGCTGAAAGCAAATTTAATCTCACCAGAATTTTGCGGCAGCTCTTCCTCGTGTAAAACCGCGGCTGTAATCCAACGACTGTTTTTTGTTTATTCGCATATATTTTTTTTCCTATTTCCCTTCCAGTTACGACAACGTGTCGCTGACGTCATCGATAGATGGCGCCATTGGTACGTTACCCTTCCCCTTCCCCCAAATCTGGGTGACGTAACGCTTTCAGATCGTTGTCTTCAGTTCAGACCCTCATTAGGAGAGTGGTGCTCAATGTTTTTTCTGGAAACCCTTCACTTGGCACATTTCTTACACAAAGAACACTGCGACAAAACAAAAAAAAAGGTCAGGCACAAAAAATAATAGAAGGATGCAAGAAAATCATAAGAATGCGAAAGAGTAGATACAAAAAGATAGGCATAAGAAAGGATAACAGAGCACCTCGAGATTATCACGCAGCACCAGAAGACCAAGATAACGTTGCAAAACAAGAAATGTGCTCGAAAAGAGAAAGCGAGAGAGAAAACAGAGCATGGCATTGCGAGACTACAAAGCGGCACAGGTATCGCTCCTACTCACTACGTAAGCGCCAGTATAGACAGAGACAACGCCACTGTATGACGGCCACTGCTACGAACAAATAACAATTAAAGCCAGTGCAGCCCAACAACAGCTCTCTACTCACTACAAAAGCTGTACGTCATGTTGTAGTAGCTGTATGACTATTTTGTGGTTCTTATGTATCAATAACACAGCTAGCGCCAAGGACACGGCCACAAAATAGCACAAACAAGAAATGAGCAGTCACTTTGAACAGCTTGTTTCTTTAAAATAGGCGTTTCAATAGTCCCTTTAAATGGAAGTTGTCTGCAAGGACTAGAGCAGACGAAGATGGGCAGCCAGTCTGGCGATGCGCTCTTTACGTGCTCGCGTATCTGATCATGCCGGTACGAAAGCTACACGTCATGGCAGCCTTCTAAAAAAATGCCGCACATTCCCACAAAGTGCCAACCACTGGCACGCGTATGCTCGCGCCTACGCGTCAGTAGCGCCAAATGCGCCCCTCGGCGTCGACGTCGGAGGGGCACACACGACGAGGCGCGAGGGATCAAGCGAGGCTTTAAATTTTCGCCTACGTCACCACTCATACGGTAGCGCCAACCAACCAGAGGGCTCACTTGAAATAGTCAAGCCTCACTTGATCCTTCGCGCCTCGTTGCGTATGCCGCTCCGACGTCGACGTCGAGGGGCGCATTTGGCGCTACTGGACGCGTAGGCGCGAGCACGCGCGTGCGAGTGGTTGGCACTAATGGTTGGTGATAAGTTCAAGCAATACGTTCGTGCAAAATGTCACACTATATTGCTTTGTTATTTTTAAATTTCCACGAGCCACGCTATCTCGAAATCGGCCTTAATCTTTCGGTATAACTCAAGCACAGCGCGAATATGAAAACGCCGTGTTCGTTTAGGTTAACTACCATTTATAGTGAAAAGTAGTGATGTGCGGGCTTGACTGCTTAAATTACGCTGAAGTAGCTATGTTAGCTCATAGTTCTTAGGTATTTGGATTGCAAAAAGAAATAGAGATTCTGTAAGGTCGACCAAAAATTTAAAATGTTGGCACGAGCGCGTCTGCGAGTCTCTGTACCTAGGTGAACTTAGTGAGGGAGAGTAAACGTGGCTCGCAAATTTGATTTCGATCCTAAGTTTGTTCACTCTTACGAAATCAAAGCTACCCGCATTCGCTTTGCTAAGACGGGTATTTCTTCACCTGCCTTCTGCGCTCGGATTCCGCGTCAAAGTGCTGACGAAAAAGATAAAACTTGATGCTCCCACTCCTTACAACAACATGAGCAACTTTCTGTATAACATTTTTTTAAGAGAGTTACTTCTGCCGTGGCGGTCACTGTAGACTTAATCCCACAACCTTAACCGACCTGAAATACCTGAGCCTGATCCAACACTATATTGTTGAAACATCACTGAAGTGGTGCCTCATAGTTTTGTTTTGCTGTCTTGCACGATGTAGCAGTTTGGAGTAGTCCGATCAAATTGAAGTAACTTAACTGCTTCATCAGAACCTTTAGATGATCTGTACAATGCATGGATGCTAAAAAGTAAATACAAAGAAACTTTATATCCTTACTGTAACTGTGGCCGGCATGTAGTACAGTTCGTGTGTGGGTTTCTAAGCGATAAGCAAACTCATTTGATGTGAGTGAGACTTCGTTGTGGTCAACACGAATTAGTAGCTTTCGAAAATTAGTCACGTAATACACTATACTCTAAAACTCTCTATGATTTTATGTGGAGTACAGTTTGTAGCTTTTTGTGTGTGAAATTTGAAATATTATTAACCAGGGCCTATTAGTAAACACGTTACCCCAGTTCCTGCAATCACGGATAGCCAAGCACGTGAATAGGCTTGAATGAAAGGAAAAAACATACAGTGCTTTCGCGCTATTGTTATTACTGATTCATTCCTTGCCGGTCGTTCATAATTGTAACCGCACCTCAAGGGCGATTATTATTCTGAAATTTTCCTTACAACCATAACACTGCCGTTTTGCATGGTTTATTACTTCTAATTTCATAATCATGCAGAATTTTGCGTTGTATACACTGTTAGTAGTAGTTAGAAACATGCAGATACATTTTTTGGCGAGCACATTCGTTTGTTTTCTTAAGTCTGAAGTACGCAGCACAAATACAATAACGAGTAAGCATTCACGCATGAGGTTTTTTTTTTTTTTGTAACGACAACACGACACGTCACAACTACTTCATAACGCCACGTCACGTGATAACGACACGTCACAAACGACAATCAGAAAAAAGGCCCATTAGCGCCAACAAGGCACGCCGCTTTCGTCTCTCCTAACTAGAGCGATGAATGAGACGGTTCAACTATACAATTCGCCGGTAACTACTTTTATACCATATTTCCATAGCTCAGTACGAAATAGTACTGACTTTGTAATGTCGACCTAGTCTCGTCCTGAGAATTATTACACTAATTTTTCGTGGACTGGACGTAAGTTATTCTGCGGGTATCGGTAAAGGGAAGTCTTTTTGAAATAGAGTGCTTCTATGCAATGACCTGCTAAGTAACACTGCCATTACAGTATGTTTCGCAACGTATACAATTGCTCCCCTATGCTTCCAAGTCGTGTGATGAGCTAAATCCAGCTGCAAAGACAACCAGCAACGCACACAGACGTGTTTACAACCGGCATCTACTTCATTTTTTTTCAAGAAATTAAGTCACATTGTCTCAGGGTGTGATTCTTAAATTATGATAACTATTTTGTTTCATAAATGTAGACTAGCGCAATAAATGACAAAGAGAAAAATTTTAACATCCTCGTATGTGGTGATGGTGCATGGCAATCAGATAACAAGAATAGCCGAGTTTTAAACTTAGTCGCACGCCTTTTTTTTGCATACTTCTTGTTCTAATGATGTATCTACTCTGCTTTCATTGTTCTGTAATTATTAAAAATTACTAGTATTCCAATATACGGCCCACTGACTCGAAATCGTGGGAGAAAGCAAGAATTGACCACTCGAACACAATAGGAGGTTTTTGTACAAAACTTATCAGCTATTCCGTCTCCTCTTTTGTGTCCAGAGTTCTGCAAAGAATCTAGTTATAGCCGATCACAGCCTATAGGATCAAACGTAAGCGCTGTCCACTGCCGTCACTGTTCTACCCAGAAAAAACTTATCACAGAATTCGCATCCAATTGCACTTGCTCATTTTCACGACGCCACGTACTTTTCGCGTGCTTCAAGTAGGTTATTTCGCACATACAAACACATTTAGGTGTCACTGGTTCCTACTTAAAAACTTGAGCTTCCAGCCAAATTTCCCCAATGATTCTGATGGCGCTGCTCAAACAAGCGTAATGTCTTAGGCATAAGTAGGCTCAGACTCACTTAACAAATATATCCGTATGTCCGGCAGTCTGAACTCACTCAGACTCAAACTCACCGAAGTCTTATTCACCCTGACTCACTTAGATTCAGACTCACGGCTCCATCTGAGCCTGGGCGAGTCCGAGCGAGTAGACTTTTGAAAGAGTTCGCCGACCTATACTCTCTTAGGTATGGACGATAAACCTTCGCGCGCGCCGTACTAACGTTAGCAACCAAAAAGTACTTAAGGTGTGAAAAGAGGGAAAGTATACCACTACCGCCTTGTACAGATAAACGTCAGGCATGTCGTAGATCTGGAAAACGGAGCATGCACTTATCCTTAGGTTGCAACCGACACTGCCATTCTAAGCGGCTATTTCTGTCTCCGTTATTTCTCCATACTTCTTTCATATGCGTTCACGGAAGCAGTAATCTTTCTTTTTTTTTTGTCGTTCGTAAATTTATCATAGGTTTCAAAGCACGCCTGAACTGTACAACAACAACAACAACAACAAAAAACAAGAGAAGTAAGGTTTTCGTAATCGAATGTCCGCACTTCACGTTTGAGCTAGTCACGTCAATCCTTTACATTTCCTCTCCGTATTTTGCAATTAAGTAATGACCCAATGCTTGCCAACCCCCCCTTTTTTTTCTTTCGTGTATCCATTATGCAAAATTGGGTACTGGGCAAACGAAACCTCATTTGCAGACTCCGTCGTACCTTCGAACGTAATTAGGGTTCCGAGCTTTGCGCTCAACTTGAATCACAGAAAATGACACGCCCTTTTTATGTACACGTACTCACGCAAACGAACAGCTAGCTGTGCACAGACGTAATCCAATCTGTCGAAACGAAATCCCACGTTGTCGAGCAGAAGTGTTGAAACAGCATATTGCGCGAACGGTGGTATGCACCTTCAAACGCCCAAGGTCTTTTTGAAGGCTCAATATCGCTAAGTGCTGAGAGTGTAGCAAGAAAAAAAATTAAATCAGGCAAGAAACTTAGTTCAACGATGCCATTAGTATCTGCACCAATATGCTTGCGATTTCGTCTACGTCGTTTCGTCACTAAAATAGGGCATATCACGCTGGCACTGTTTCGAAAATGCACGACGATAGAAATGCCCCAGTTAAATCTCAGGTCTCGAGCATTCATTCATGAACAAAAGTTGTATACAAGGATTCATTCTCCGGCAATTTTATGTCTTAGTAAGTTGGAGACATTCTTCGTGAGATATTGCTACCGGTGCTTTTTTTATGTCAAAGCGTCTAAATTGTGAACATGCAGGCTTAATCCCTGTAGGATCGTTTATTTAGAAAATCGTTCTTGTTCGCAGCTAAATGAGCTGAGAGGTACAGCACGTCGGTCGGCCAACTCACTCAGTTATCGACACAGACATGGCTCGACTCGGACGACAACTCAGTCGCCCGTGAGTAGAATCATTCACGAGTTGACGCACTCAAGACAGTCTGACGTTAGAAGGCTGGCCTGAGGGTTGCTCAGGAACACTTCTATCAGTATGTGGCTGATAATAATTTGGACGTCTAAGCCTAATAACCCTGCGTGGAGTGAATCAAACTAAGCTAACGTAGACACTGCGAGCAATCCTTAGACAGTAGCGATTATTTTGTCTAGTTTAGGCTGCCTCAGTCACATTTAGCCAATTATTTCCTATTTTATTGTTTTATTTCTTATTTCTTATTTCATTTCTTATTTTCTTATTTTCATTTAGCCGACCTATAATAAACCAGTATAGTATTGTTGAATGAAGTGTGCAGGTGCCAAAACGGTGCGCGAGGTTTAATAACCGCGCTTCACACAAATTTGTAACGTGACTAGAGTTTCTCGGTTAGGGTGACAAAACTCTGTGCTCTGCTTGCGTCCGCATAAGCCATGTCCGGAAAACACGTGACATCTACAACCGGAACTGACGCAGGCGTACAACATGCCGCGGGGTAGGAGGAGGTAAGTTCATCGGCATACATGATAGTCATCGCAGCATCTCTCTGCACCAACATTCTAGCCGAAAGAAGCACTTTCGCGTTCTTGTTTTATAAGGACACGCTGATGAATCTCCCGTTATATTTTTTTACTTGTCTTTTCTTCAAACTTGGCTATGTAGGAAACCTTGTATATAAACGCTAGACTGACTGTTGGCGTGCTTATAATATACCCAAAAGCTACGCTGTTAAACTTTTTTGGCAAGGCTCATCCCATCGTAACTAGGGGAATAGGCAGTGTAGTTCCATTGCCTTCATTTGAGTGCCAATAATGACCTTCGAATAACAGTACAGCCAAAATAAGTGACGTACGTTTTCCGGAGTGAGCCAGCAATCACACCTTCCAACATGTACTGCTAGCAGAGCTTCGGTGTCCGGGAGTTATTTCGGAGTAAAACTACAGTCTGTCTCTTTCTGAGCGCTGCACCGCCTAAAAAACGCTTAATCGACTCCCAATCGTATTGCCTAGATTTCAGCTAATAAAAACAATCAAACCTAGTCATAACTTCTTGTAACTTCTTTCGGCACCCGCTGCTCCCTCATTGCGGATTCTTAATCAGCGAAACAAGAATATACAACGTTCTGAGTTTGATAACAAGCCGTTATTCAGAGCTTTCGGTAGGTGCTCGTTTGGTCAAGGGTTATAAAGCACGAACACCGGCACGGCATCGCAGGGCGCGTAGCGCTCTCTATACGCTTTGAGCGAAGACTCGAAAGCGCCATGAGTGATGACGCCATCTCGAACTGCGGACGTGCCTTGTTGGAGCATCGCTGATGGGCGTTGCCACATGGCCCCTATACAAGAGGCGCGGCCACCAAATCATCGCACGAAAATCTGGGACACCACGCCTCATTAAGGGAAGAGAGAGACACAGGTCAGCCACGTGACGACAAAAAGTTGCTCATGCTTCCAGCGCCACCCACACGTGGCATGACAAAGACAACAGAGAGAAAGATAGAAAAGGGGAAGTAGTAAAAGAGGTTGGTTACGATTTCGGTTCACTTTCGATTCAAATCGAAACGAGCCGAAAGTGAGGGGAACCTACGCTCGCTTAGCATTAATTTGTTGTTCCTGAGCTGGCTTATATGGCGAAAACCAGTCACTACTCAAGAAGGGTGCAAATGCAGCCCGAAACAACATTTTGTTTTTGTAATGCAAGAAAAGTTTCGGCTCGTATTGATTACCCGGATTTGTGTCAGTGTATGCTTCAACATACGCGTTAACTTTTCGGAATCCGGCCTATTCGGACGACTGTTGGTCAATTACGACTTGTTTTATTAAATATAAGAAAAGAAATACTTGAAATAGAGCATAAGTCTAAGATGAACTAGTACCGAAAGAATCGTTTATAATACCCACACATGTGTGGCTACTATGCGCATTAGGGCGCTAGTCTTTTCATTAGTTTTTGGGTATCTAGACGTTCTCGTCTATTCTATATGGTTTTCTTTTGGTGCGCTTGTACCGTAGCGAGGTGACACCATGTTTGTGAAGAAGAAGTGAACCAGTTCACTCTTCCTCACTAGTCTGCACAAATCATTCGCTTTCTTTACTATAACTACTTTAACAATCTCCTCTTTTTCGCCACTTAGAGATGGATTATAACCTCAAATATATTTAAGAATAATATTCCAGCACAAATCATCCGAGATTTTGAGCAATCTGGAACGTTCCACTCATTTTCTAAAAGACAAAATGATACTCATAGTTTTATATCTTTAACTGTTTTAAAGCTCAGTACCTTTGGCGAGCTCCAAAAATATTTTTGTGTATATCACCTACAGCGCATGTTGTTCGTGCTAAGAAGGTGGTTAAAAATGTTGCCTAAGAATATCCTTATACTGACACTGCGTTCTAATTGGGGCCGTCTTTATCATACAAAAGTTCTCAATCACGTTCGAAAGAATTAATAACATTGTAACGCCCAAAAACGCACCCCTTTACACCCAACGTTCTCTTCTCTTCTTGGCCAATGGCGCTAAGTATGGTTCATGTAGCGTTATTTATTAATTACTTCACGTTCGTTATTTTTGGTTAACTGTGCAGCCTACGTTAGCCTGTACATTTAATTCACTCGTCATAGTGATTAAAAAAATTGTACTGCTAAGCAAGGATAGCCTCCCACAATAGTAAACACGGGAAGTAACTATCACGAATACTTTCAGCTAACCTTTATTCTTTTCATCACAGCATGGTTGTATCTGTGTGACAGCAATGCATTTGCGCTATAAAGCTTAGCAGCAAACTGGCGTTTAAGTCGCCATTCTAAGCAGTCGTAAGGCTGAAAAGCCACAGCGATCACAAACCCGCTGCGCTGAATTTCTTTTCTCTATTCTACAGTGGCCGCTTTTGTACGGGCTGACAACAACTATGCAGCTGACAACTGCAGTGACTAGGTGCACCACTGCAAGGGTGCAACAAGCTACAAAGCGTAGTGAAGACAAACACAGATACAGAGGGAGGAAAAATAACACGACAGTACGGTGAGGACACCGAACATTACCTTCCTCCAGTTTAGGCTCTCCGAGTTCGATGTACAGGACGGCGTCCTTCTCGTATGATTCGTTGTCGATCACAAACAGTGAGAATTCTTTGCTGCAAGTAGAAGAACGGGAAGGGAGCGAGAAGAAGTCAGACGGGCAAACAGTTGGTCTCATACTGATAACACTCTGATTACGTATTCAATGTCAGACATTAGATAGGGTAGGCCTGCGTATGCAGTGCAGTGAGTGTGGATTTCAGGCAATATTCGATAATATCCCCATTCCAGGTAGGAGAAAGGAGATGACTGAGTAAGACATACTAGAAGAATACCTCATCAGGGAGAAAAAAAAAGCTATCTGTATTAGAGATACGTCGGTGGTGCTACGTTCAGCTGAATGTTATTTTTCGAAACCTTTCTGAACTAGCAGGTGCATTGCGAATGTCCGATTGTCGAATGTAGCGTACGGTGTGGCTTTGCGCATCTGCGGCATGGTGGATATTGTGGTGGCAAGAATTAAGTTAGTTGCAAGTTTACGCTCTTTCCTTTCGCCCATTCTTCCCCGGTGGCTCGCATCGTTATAACTTTCTCGCAACAAGCAACAACTAGGCAAACAAGCTTTGCTAAAAGAATATTTAAATTTTACAAGCAGGTTTATTAATTAATTCCTGCTATCTTACAATTTTATAAAATGATTTACGAGAACGAAAAATGCCGTGACATGACCGACGCTTACAGCAACTGCATCACTGCAATCTATTTATTATTATGAGCAGTACAGCACGCCACAAGGAAAAATTCAGAAGGGCGTATGGAAAAATATACAAGACAACACTGTTCAGTAGTTTTACGAAGAAAACAGGAAGGAGAAGCAACACACAGTAACATACATATGTGTTATTTATATTTTATATACAAATTTACAGAAAAGCCATACTTTTATAAAAAAACCTGAGCCCAAAAACACTGAGAAGTTGCTATTCACAATATTTTGAAAACTCTGTTGCGGGGACTATATTTTGCAATAGGTTTATGTACGGGAGTGTAACTTATTACGGTTTAGGGGTCATACATTCCTGTATTATTAGTGTCAGCTTTTGCAGACCCTAGTTTGTACAGCCGTCAGCACCTTTAACGCGAACACTTCGATGCGTGACCATGGCTAGTTTGATTGATGCCAGCCACGAAATGCTGGGCGCTTTCGCCGAGATAATACCTCGGTAGGCTTGGATAGTATACATCGGCGTGTAAGGTTAGGATCTTGACAACAGAACCCAAACGTACGTGGTGTTAGCGTCAATCAAACTGATGCAGGACACGGGCCGGAGGGTTCGTGTTAAACGTGCTGACGGCTGTACGTAATGTGGATTCAATCACTAATTTTTTACGCTGTTCACACTGTGTGCAATTCATCTGACATTTTTCTCGACATCGCGCTTCGCTACTGGCGCAATGGCGCATCGATTCGCATAATACAATATAGACAGATTACGATATATAGGCAGTTTCCTAGAGAGATGTGCAAGATTTCAATATAGTGCGTCGTACTGAAGTAAGATACCAAGATGGGGCCGATTGTAAATTTTTGAAGATGACTTCATTCCAGAGCAGACGTTACACAGACTGGCCTTGATGATGACATTGATGATGATGTTGTTGTTGTTGTTGTTGTTGATGATGATGATGATGATGATGATGATGATGATGATGATGATGAGAAGGAGGATGGACATACTTCGACACGGGATGACACGTGAGCACGCTCAGAGCAGTTTTGCTTACCCATAAAATAGTTCGCACCAAATTTTCTTTTTCTTCTTTTTTTAACTGAATATAGGAAAACTATTACGAAGTCCCAATGTACTATACAGAGAACTCTTTGCATTTGTATGCTGTGAAACGCCCCGTTCCGCAATTTTAAACGCACCTCGCGCGAGAAACAAAGGTCAATCAAAACAAAATTCTAGCGCTTCATTACTGTGCGATCGGCGAGGACACGCTCAAAACTTTAACTCAAGCTGACAGGTCGGTAAATGGCTTTAAAGTTCGTGGAGAGGTGACGTCGAAAACAGGCCCGACCAGCATGCACCTAGCAGTTCTCTTTGAAATTTCTTTTTTTCATTTCCCACCCACAGTTTCGACAATGGTCTTTCGGTAAACAGAACGTAGTGCTCGTGAACACCAAAAAAAGACAAGTCTAACAACAATGGGAGTCGACGTTGAGTACGAGTCGATTTGAATATCGACCGGGAAAAATTTATGCGGCGGTCGATGCTTCGTCCATAGTTTGAAAGCCAGGGCAGTGCGTGGAATGCACACGGCATGGTTGCTCTGTTGTGAAGGAACCGCGATTCACCGGCGTTTTTCCGGTGAGAGCTGTAGCAATAAATCACACCGAGAAAAAGATTTCTAGTTGAACCTTTTCTTTTTCTTTCAAACAGGTTCTTTTCATACGTCAATAGCGAACAGAAATGCTTGCTTCGAGAGCAACTTTGAAATTCAAATGTCGTTCGCCACTCTTCCGACCCCCCTTTCTCGAAATTCATTCGTGACTTGTCGGCCTTTTCCAATTTCCTCTAAATCAATAGCGCTTGCTCATTTTTATTTCCTTGATATCAACATGAAAAGGAACACGGCATCGCACTGAGAAGGTGATGGCTGGTTTTTATTCAACAGTAGTCTGCTGTAACAAAAGAACAATCAAGGTAGTACATGTCGACCGCCTAACAGGAGAGAAGTGAGGCCCCTTGATAGCTGATGCAGTTACTCGTGCGGATGTTCCCCCTTGATGTCACACACTATATTCTATAAAAAAGTATATTTTAGCTTTGCGCATGTGGAGTTCAATCAATCGATTAGTACATCGGTCATTCAATCAAAGAAGCAAGTTTGCGATCAATAACTAAATTTAATCATTGACCAGTACTCAAAAGCCAGATTGTAAATTATTTATACGTCATTAAAACAATCTATTATTCGAATTACCGATGAATGCACCAGTCAGCCAGCAAATAAAAATTAAAATGAATAAAGGTACCGAGAATTCGTTTTTAGCAAGGAGAATGTGGATTTCAATAAAAAGAAATTAACCAATCAAACAATTACCCATAAGTAACGTAGGTTGTGTATCAATAGCTAATCAAATACATGAAACTCTCTATTTGACTATTTATTTATTTATATACTTAATAATTAACTAATTGATTTATTTATTCATTCTTGAAAATGCGTCAAAGGAAATTCAAGTAGGGTTTTTCATGACGCTAACAAACAATTATTTCTACAATCATTTCACCAATGAAGGTACCACATTTTAACTAAAAGCTTTGGCTATGTTACCGTGACTGAAAAAAAGGCTCCATATTCGCAGCTCGGCATGCCAGTCGAGTACTAGGCAAGTTTAGACATACCACACAAAGTAAGCTGTATCCAAAGGCAATAAAGCCTGAAATGACGTGAGCTATGACTTGTGGGCCTCTTCGGCTGCTACTCTGTCACCGCCATACCACACAGTGATGTGATCGACAGGACTGCAACGGATCATCGAAAAGCGAGAAAGATACAAACAATGGCAACGACAACAGCAACAAGATATGTTGCGAAAAAATGTGATATATGCCACACGACTAGGTTCATACAGCCAACATTTTCCACGAATGAAACCATATCGAATGATTCCAAAACGATCAGTGACTACACGGACAAAGAAGGAGGTTAGAGTTGACACGGACTAGACGTGCTTGCATAGATTGTGCTCCGTGGGTAGAACACATTTGAGGAGGCGAATTACAATAGACTGCCTAATAATGTGCCATATTCCTCAAATTTGCCCAACATAGTCATGGGCCACTCGATACTAGACTCGAAGAAAGAAAATTAAGTAAGATCTTGTTTCGTGCGAGCTTTAGTAGCTATTACTCGATAGATTGTCAATAAATACTTATTCGACATTCAGTCTCGTTTCATTTTTACATACAAAAAATGAAATCGTAGGCTCAAGATGTATGCTCAATTTGCTTTCATTCGCATTTGTTTGGAGCAATCAACAATAATACCTCTTTACGTTTGTCTTAGAACGTGGTACGTAGACCGAACCATCGAAAATCGTAGGGCCTGCACCAAACTTCTGGTCTGCAGTCATTTTTTTTTAACGTGATTAATTCAAGCAAGGGCAGCTCACTTTTGAACAAAGAGCCACACTCAACTGAGGACTCTCTACGACAGACGCCTAAATATGGTGGACGTTCTGAAGAAGATGGAAGCGATGAAATTACAATTTTAGTTCTCTTTCGCAATACAAGTCCGCCAACAGCAATAGAAGTCAGCCAACATACAAGTCAGCCAACATGCAAATACAAGTCAGCCAACAGCAAGCTTTACGAACAGTAGTCGACAAAGACCAGTCCCTTTGTCGAAACTTTAGCTCCTGCGACACCAGCTCAAATGAAGTACCTTTTTTTTATGACAAACATCAATTCTAGCCTAGCAATGCAGCCACTCAATGGAAACATTCTAAACAGAGCTCAAACTGCGCGGATATGTATGCCGCTAGATTCATTTGTGCATGGTGGCAGTGGGTCTGATGGAAATGAATATATTAAGGAGAAAAAAAATCATGTCACACCAGAAGCCAGAGTGCTTTTGCAAGCCAGAATGTTGAGGCAAGTTTTCTTAACTAAACAAACCAGGGAAGAAACAACACTCGTTAAAAGTGGGCTGTCGCTACTCTCAAGTGAAATGCACTGCAGAAAAGAGTTTAAAAGAGGTTTTTTCGCGAAGTCAAGAAATGAGCTCTCTTATAAATGAAACCATTATGGTGTATAGTTCAAAAACCACGTTCTCAGATCATTTAAGCTTCTTTCAATGCACGAACTTCCAGGCTTGAGAAAAAATTTATGCGTTATAAATGTTTTCTTTATTCACTTACTGAGAGCCTTTCACAAACGCGACTTTACGTTGATGAATCTAATTTGTTTATTGGGGTGTCTAAGCCAACAAAGTCATGTCAAAGCCGGTGAATCTTAAATATAAGTCCCCCCATATCGTGGAAACCTTAAACTCTTTCACTAGCCATTTGGTGGAGCTAAAAAGCTAAAGAGCTACCGTTATTTCC